AAATGGTGAGATGAGTACAAGTTTAAAAAGGAGGATGAAGCAGAGAGAGAAGCCTTGGCAGGAGTTTGATTTCTGAAATCAGGTTGAATGTCAAGGCGCACTTTCTCTGATCAGTTCATTCATTTGTAGGGTTTCCAGCTGACCTGAGATGTTCTGTACTTATCCTATATATGATTTGTGGACTGTTCTGAATAGAAAAAAAGTGGTTTATGGACCTCAATATGCCTTTACTCTCCCAAGTACAAATCAGGAATAAGATAAAATTAGCGTGAGAATAAGACCCATATTTTTTTCAGTTACACCCCAGTCTAAAGATTATATTGTGGGAGTGGGAGAAAAATACAAACTAGTAAATCATATATGCTGCTTAGACATTGAATTGCTTTCCTCAAAGTTAAACAAATTGGGACAACCATAATGCAAAGGTAGAGGTGTCAGCAGGATACAATTAAGTTGTGAATTGTCAAGCAGAGATGTAATATGGAAAACCCTTATCTGTTGTGAACAATTCTATTTGGATTACTCACAAACGAAACATTTCAGTCAGATTTCTTACAAATACCATTGAGGAGAACTTCATTGACTCTCCTGTAGCTATTTGAGCTTGCTTCCCTGAAATAATATTACATTTGTGAATGTATCCATCTCTGTATAAATCTCTTTTCCCTCGTATATGTTTGCTTTCACCTGTGAAAGTCATTTTCATGGTTTTTTTATCTTGTCTTTAATAAGCTATAGCTTATTGCAGTGTATTATGCATTGTATTTAAAGTACCAATACAGATATGCCACGCTCTATAAAATGCAAGAGCATCTCTTATGTATGCAGAAATGAATCATTTCCAGGGAAAGAAGTTAAAATTATAATTCAATCAAGGCAATTCTGTTCTTTCTTTGTTTTCAGACAGGAAGTGCACTATCTTAAGGACATCTGAAACTCATCTGTGATTACAAAGTTGTTATTCCCTTATACAAATCATATAGCTAAGTAATGCAAACTATTCGCAGAATAAAAGAGGTTAAATTGTCTTTTTCACTCAAAACATATTCTAACTAGTTCCTGACAGAAAGTTGTCCTGATACAATGCATTATTGGCTAGTCTCACGATTGAGACTATTGTCGATGGGCTAAGCTACAAAGGCTGGAAGCGGGTAGATACACTCCCCACTAATTGCTATTCAGAGTTTTTCAAGTGTCCATTTTACAAACAAAGAAAAGCATCATTTGTTTGATGCAATATGTGAAGTGATCTTTTTCCTGTGCAAAGCATGTATTTCTTTCCTCTTCAGGACAGAACTTTAGAGACCAAATCACATACTGTGGAAAAACTTTGAAGGTTCAGCTTTAGAAAAGGAAGAAACAGGAACTTGATTTCATTTTTCCCAAGGCCATTTTACAGAATACCTGCTTTCCTGGACTGTTAACAGTCTGTAATGGATAAGCATATAGTTTCTTGAATATATTTTCACTGAGAATGACTAGTTAATCTTAATTTCCAAGATCAAGACCCTAAATACAAGACTCTGATATACAAGACTGTCAAATACACCAGACAGCTGCTGCAGCGCCCAAAGAGAGTGCAGAGGCTGCAGCTGAGCAAGTGGGAAAGCTGGTTCTTGTTCTTCATGAACAGTGGCTCCACAGATCACAGTCCAATCTTCTCTGTTCATTTCTGAATGGCAAATAAGCCTTCCCAACTGCAGAAGTTAAACCACCCGCATTGTTACAAATTACTTGTTTTCCACTAGGTCTCTAGGACATCCTGTTTTCCTGGTGCCATGTTAGTGTCTTTAAAGTTTTGGCTTGATACTAACAGAAATTTATTTTAGTTCTTCTTTTGAAATAGGGATAGAGGTTTATACAAACACATACTCAGCAAATGCATCAATGTGTTCTAATTAATGAATTATCCATTCAGCGCTACAATAATTTGCTTTATCTCTAACCATTCCCAGTGAATTCTTTATATAGTGACATTTATTAGCAAACTGCCATTTGCATCACTTTTACATTACTGTTCTCATTATTAATTATACTTTTAATAATTCTTTAGTGCTTGGTCTAATCAATAAAGAAAAACGGATGGTGCTCATGAAGCATTTAGCCTTATCTTAATTCTATATCCTTAATGCCATTGCCAATAGCACAAGAGTAGATACATACTACTTTAACTGGCAGTTCTTTCCTTTTGTACATTCCCTTGTCTCCTCTTCTCTCCTGTATGCCAGTATCCCTGAGCTTGTTCTGTAAAAGCAAAGGATGTTTCCCTATTAATGACTATTTAAATAACAGAATTACGTTGCTATTGTACTTGCTTCTTTCTTTCCCAGACAATGACTATGAATTAATTAGCATTAGAACATTGGAAATGCCTATGAATTTTAACATTTTATTTGGAACATTCTGTGTGCACTATTGAATGATTTTACACCTCCTAATGCAAAACCGATGATATCTCTACAACCCTCTGGGGGAGTGTGTGAGGTCGTTAAAGTTAGATTTGCAAAGAAAATACATGGATTTCTCTCACACATTATTCTTTCCTGTGCTGATAATGCTATTTTTGAGTGCCTGTTCAGAGTGGCTCATTTCTATTGAAACATTCTCTTATCCTTTACCTATCTATCTACCTTTCCAAACTTTTCATTTCATAAGGGAAATGAACTGTGGTTTTTCAATACTGAAAACATTCCTACAGGAAAATGAGAACTTACGTTTTCAGCTGTAGTGTTGACTCCAGAGATAATGGTCACTGAAAGGCAGTGTGAAAAGCAAACATACATGTCAGAAATGAAAATAACAGTTTATACTACATCTCCTTCATGTCTTCATTGCTGATAGTTTATTCTCTCTGTGAAGGAGGATTCCAGAAGTAACACTGGTGTTTTGGCATCCAGGCATCTGTGTGTGAAGAAAAATGATGAAGTTTTATTAAAAATTCTCCCTGGAGTCCTAATTTTGTTCTATATTCCTGCTGATTGTTTTTTATTGGGTTTATTTTTAAAACAAAGGTTTTTTGGATTCATGGGAGCTAATAACATAATTAGCACCCTGCCAGTGACTGAAGGAGAAACACTGGCAAACACAATCCGAATCCCTCTGTACTGCTTACTGAGCAAAATCTTAGAGTGTTAAGCCGGGTGGATTGCTTAAATAGATTTTTTTCCTTCAGAATCAGGTGTTATTTCCATAACCTACATCTATCTGTTTTAAAATAAACTTCCTTTTCAAAAGTGAATAGCAACATGTATGTAGGCTTAAATTTACCACTTTGTATTAACAAAATTTGCATAAAATTTATACTATTTAAGTAATATATTCTTGCTGGTTAAGTTCTAAAGAAAGCTATTGAACAGGGAATAAACATACTGCCTATGCATCCAGAACCAAAGGTTGTTGAAATTATTAAACAGCTTTTAACAGCAGACAAAAGAAATGTTTTCTTCATCAGTTTGATTTACTTCAATAACTAGTTCAAAGTTAAGGATCTGCTTAGAATTAGAGTAACCTGAAGCATCATTATCTTTAAATGGTCTATGAATAAATTCTCAGTCTAGTATGCTAAGACTTATGAATTCATTCATTAACTGTATATAAAATTTGCTTTGGTAATAAACCAGTTTTAAGTATAAAAAGTTTGATGCATTTTTCCTCTGTATACAACATATTTATTGCAATTTTATTTAAATAATAAATACACTTGAAAGGCTGGGGTTTTGCATTTCAATTGAATTCCCATTTCCATCCAAAGCAGCTTGATACGAGTCGTAAGTAAATAAAAATTAATCTGCTAGTAAAGAAGAATTATTCATTTCTAACAGAATGCTATGTAAGTGTTAAGCATTTGAATAATTATGCTGAACTATATTGCTTCTTAAATGGGAATGTAGGTATTTTTCTGGTAGTATATGGAAGTAACAGATTAGTTTAAAAATTGGATTCAGTTGCAAAGCAAGGGTTTTTTTAGGTTTACCTACCGACAACAATCAAACTCACTTGAGGAAAAAAGAATAATACACCTTCAAAATAGGCATAGAAGGGTTTTTTAAAAAATTGCTTTATGTTTTTTTTGTATTTTCAAGTGAATAGGAATTATTTTCACAAAAATAATGTTTGAAAATCTCATGAGACTTAATTTTATATTGAATGCTTTTTTGTGAAAAATATGTGACAGGTTTTCCAGAAATAGTATAGTTCAGGGCCTTATAAATAGGCAGTTCCATGATACATGGGGGATAGAATGGCTATATGAACATTAAGTCATAACTCCCAACTCCCTACTTTAGGAGCATCTATACTCAGTATTTTAATTCAGTAGAAAATTCCAACATTTCTAAAATGTATTTGATTTCCAACTGGAAGAAAATAAAGGTTTAACATTTGCTACTTATTAAAATTCTGTTTAAAAGTAGTAGAAATATCAAAATGGGCAACAGTTTTCCCTCAGCAAGAGTAAGGCAGTTAGTTTAAATTCTGATGTAACAAGAGTTACATTCATTTATTTTAAAAATGTAGGTTTATGCTCACATTGTTATTGATTTGGTTTATATGTATATGATGCTGGCATTTTAATTAGAAAGACTTGGTTGCTTTATATTAGGCTTCTTTAATGAGTTATCAAAATCAGAAAATTCATATCCTTTCTTTAAAACAATAACCATAGCAGATCCTGCTAAATCACACAGCTGACAGAGACACCTATTCCCGACTTGCTCAAAGCTGTGAATTAATTAATTTGTTTCAAACATAAAATTGCTAGAGAAGCATTTCAGAGTGCAGCTTGATAGCCACTCTTGTTTGTGTGTATCCAGCATGGTAAGGGCAATGAAATCTCAGCAGCAGAGGTCCATTTCTCAGTGCTGGCTGAGCTAAAGGAGAAGGAAGAGGTTTTTATTATGTCAGTGGTGGAGAACGCGTTGAAAGCAGCAAGGATCTCTCCAGTTTCAACCAAGTGCTGATATACTAATTATGCCTTAACTGCATCTCCTGTTTCCTCCTAGGTCTTACTGCTGCAGCATCTCTCGTATCCCTGGCTTGGGCTTTGGCTTCCTACCAAAAGGCCCTCCGTGACTCCCGTGATGACAAGAAACCCATCAGTTACATGGCTGTTATAATCCAGTTTTGCTGGCATTTCTTCACAATTGCAGCAAGGGTCATTACTTTTGCTCTGTTTGCCTCGGTTTTCCAGCTGTACTTCGGGATCTTCATCGTGCTGCACTGGTGCATCATGACCTTCTGGATCGTCCACTGCGAGACAGAGTTTTGCATCACTAAATGGGAGGAGATAGTTTTCGACATGGTTGTTGGGATAATCTACATCTTCAGCTGGTTCAATGTCAAGGAAGGAAGGACACGCTGTAGGCTTTTCATTTACTATTTTGTGATCCTTTTAGAAAACACCGCCTTGAGTGCTCTCTGGTATCTGTACAAGGCCCCGCCAATCTCTGATGCATTTGCCATACCAGCACTGTGCGTAGTGTTCAGCAGCTTTTTAACAGGCATTGTTTTTATGCTAATGTACTATGCCTTCTTTCACCCCAACGGACCAAGGTTTGGGCAGTCACCAAGCTGTGCTTGTGAGGACCCTGCAGCTGCCTTCACCCTACCCCCAGAAGTGGCCACAAACACCCTACGGTCCATCTCCAACAACCGGAGCGTCACGAGCGAGCGGGATCAAAAATTCGCGGAGAGGGATGGGTGTGTGCCTGTGTTTCAGGTGAGACCCACCGCACCGTCCACACCTTCATCCCGGCCACCAAGGATTGAGGAGTCTGTCATTAAAATCGATCTGTTCAGGAACAGGTACCCAGCGTGGGAGAGACACGTGTTGGACAGAAGCCTGAGGAAGGCGATCTTAGCATTTGAATGTTCCCCTGCTCCTCCACGGCTACAGTATAAAGATGATGCCCTTATCCAGGAGCGCTTGGAATATGAAACCACATTATAAACAAAACAAAAACACAGCTTGAAGAAGCTCCGACATTACAGTCCAAATTAAAGGGTTGACAGTAGGGCTGTAGGAATAACTAAACTGCATACTACAAGTAGAGCAGCAAGCTGTAGTGTTCTTAGTCTGGCTATCATCATGATTATCATTTGATCCACTGTGTGCAGTCCGTCTGCAAGACACTGATACAGCAGCATCACCTGAAAGCCTCAAAAAAACCCAAACGCTGACCCACACGTACAGATCAGTTACTGCACATGGGGAAACTCACCCATGACTCTTGCTGCCATGAAACTCTGACTGCACAGTACTCACAATCAAACCAATAGGAAGGCTCTGGTGAGGGCTTTCAACTTTAGCCAGTAGTGCATTTATTTTAGAAATGAATGGTTGATATTTACATAATCAATGGCAAAAACAAACAAACAAAACCTTTTCAAAAATAACAAAACCGTAGCACACAGTATTGCTGTTATGAAAACTCTTTTCTGGGGAAAAAAATAGGAGCATAGTAGTCTTCAGCACGCCCATAGATCAACCATTCAGCTTAGAATAGGTTTGCAAAATGGTTCTTCATTAAAAAGATACATCGTCATGTTTGTAAGGCTGTCAAGGGAAAATAAACTAAATTCTGATTAATTAGGTCATAAACATTAGTACTACCAGAACTGTTTGTTTTCTGTGGAATTTCAAAGTCTTTTTAAATGCAATTTAAGTTCTTTATGTTACTTTCAACAGAAATCCTATGCAGCTCACTTCTGGTTTTCAGGAGGAATAAGGAGCTCTAGCACGTAGTGATGTAAATTAAATGATAATCATGATTCAGTGTTCAATTTGCAAAAAAACCAATATATATATATATGTAAAAGAACAAGGAAGTATAGTTTTCGTATTCTAAACTTTAGGAGGACCCCATTCAGATATTTCAGAAGAAACTACAAGATGAACACACTGAAACTTCTCTGTTTCGGGACTGAGAATGCATGATTCAGTGTGTGAATGTATGCAGGGGTGACAAGAGACTGTGACATGCCATACCCTTCTAGTGCCAAACATTGTATAACTGCAAGGTTGATATTGCCTGAGGGACAGATAACGAGTGGCACGAGCCCTACCAGAACAAGAAGCAGGAAAGACCAATCAAGTTCTCAACGTGTAGAGACAGCTCTGATTTTTCCCACCCGAGGTGGAAGTGATGTCTTTTAAAGGCTTTCAGCCACCTCTTAGTAAGTATATTCACTGAAGTATAGTATAAGCAAGTTATGTGGAAGACCCTCTTCTGCTTGTTCAAGACTTGTGTCCAGATACGTCTAAAAATTACGCTGAATCTCTTGTAATAGAGTGCTTTTGCTGCAAGCTTTTGGGTTTTAAATACCTCCCTAAATCTAGTCAATGGTATCCTCCTTTATGTTAAAAGTATCCCCTGATGGTGCTTTCAGATGCATTAAAGGTGCAAGTCAAAATTTGATAGTATTTTTTTTAAAGCTGGTGCAGAGTGAAAAACTCATGAATTATTTCAATATTTTTGTAAAGTAAAAATATGGTATAAAAAGGTTACTTTTTATAAACCTCAAATCTTTTAATACATTTCATTCTCTTTATAGCTTAGATTTTAAGAATTGGTCCATGAACTTTATCAACTGGCTTCTGCAGGTTGATATAAACCTGGTTTTCACACATTATGGGTTTGTTTTGCAGTGTAATGCCATATGAAAGCCTACATGGGTACTTTTAGAATACTCTATAAACCGTGGATCCTGCTTCAAATGTAAGTGGCTTGTAAAGACACCAAGCAATTCCATAAGAAACAATTTGCTATAATTATTTCCATCCATTTTAGGAGAGCGAAGCAGAACTGAAGAGTTACTGTTGTAAATGGCATTGTCAGGATGGAGAAGACCTGATGATTGGTATTGTAATCTTCACTGTCAGGTATATCCAGTGTAGTCACTGCTGTATATGCTGCTGGGTAAATTTCAGTCTTTCCTATTATTAATATTTGTACTATGAAATGGCCAAGGTTACACGCCTGTGTTTATTTGTATGCATTCAATTAGCCATTTTTAATGTTGACTTTTTTTATTAGCAAAATGTTCAATACCTGTTGTTCTTTGCTGGGGCGAGTTCCTCAAAACAAAACATCTGTGAAAGTGCAGGAATCTGCAAGGCAGAGGGAACTTTACACAGATCCAAAACCACCCGTGCTTCAAGGGTTTCTTAGGTATTTTCAAATTAAGCAGTGGCCAGCTGCCTCTATAATCATTTTTTAAATAAAATAACTCTTTGATAGTCCAAACCTGAAGCTTTGTACAAAATGATCGCCCTTTCCTCCATGGAGATAATAGCTAATTATTCAGAGAAAAGTACTCATATTTTGTCAGAAAATATACCACTGCAGGAACTGCTAAAAAAGATTTTGGGAGCAAGTCCTTTGGCCCGTGAAATTCAGTAGAGCCTTCACTCCAGAATCAAACACTAGCTCGCACAAGGAAATTGCTGCTTTTCTTTACAAACAAGGCCAATGACAAGCTTTGTAATCCAAGATGTGAGGGTTTCTTTTGGAACCAGTTCGACGGATTTGCTGCTGCTTTAACAACTCAGAAATTTTAGCATGAGTGAGGCACGGTGGGCAGCGCTCTCGAGCTCTCACCTCCCAGGGAGAGGGCCAGCATCGCAGCTGGCAGGGAGGCTTGTCCTCTTCTGATCTCCCTCTCAACCTGTCTTGCTCTTCCTCGGAGCTGCGAGCCCTTTGGTGCGGGCCTGCAGAATTGAAGAAATGTTGCCTCGTACAGAATTTAAAGGGTTATGGTCTGGACCGGTGCTTGCATTGCAAGGTTTCTAAAGAAGGTTTGGGGTGAGTTTGTCTGATTTGCTCTTGTTTGGTTTTGGAAGGAAGGACACAGAGGCGTTATTTATCTGTGTGGTTTTTAATACCTAGCATTTACTTTCTTTACTCTCCCAGGATTTTTAATTTTTTTTTAATAATGTTTGTAAAAATGTTTATCTTAAGCAAACTACTGCAGGGTTTGAGTGCACAGCGCCATACGTGGCAGTACGTATACACACCTTGTCTTCAGAATTCAATCTGGCTGTTTGAGGAAGGGGGAGAAGTCATTTTACACCACGTCAAAATTTGCTCTCCAAAATCTTGCTCTGTTATGTTCGTAACATCAGTGATACCTGCACTGAGAACAGGGTGGCCACTGAAATCTTAACGCTCAGATGACTACACGGGCAGTTTCTTAATTTGCATTGCTGTGAATAGTCACATTAAAAGCTAGAAGTATTTTTTACAGAAATTGTCAAGATTAAACATAGTCCATGTTGAAATTCCATGATGGCCTTATGGACAGTTAATCAATATGCACTATTCTTTTTACCACAGACAGTTTTCAAATCAATAAAGTTCAATTAAGACAGCAATAGCAAAAAAAGAATTGCAAAAAAAAATTAACTTCTGCTTTTGAAATAATGAAAAAAACAGGTCCTTTAAATTTCATTCCAGAATACAGTAAAATAAAAAATTCATAATTATATTCTGGTAAAGAAAAGCAATCACATCTCTTTGTTAGAAGTAAGAATTATGTAAACATTCTTCTAATGAACCAAACAAATTTGCCAGCAGATTTAATGGTAACTTACCTGGTTAAAGACTTGGTCCTAAAATTTTGAGAGTTGTGGATTTGTACGCTACAGAAAAGACAATTTAACTAGTATTCACTACTCCTCTAGATAGATAAAGGAGAGGTAATGCATACCCATGGTCATTCAGAAAACATATAAGAAAATGTGAGATAAACCTTTTGTCTTATTTTAAAAGAGAAGTTATTTGTTCTATAATAGGATAAATTTTTTTTAAAAAAATGAATTCTTTGAAAATACGTGCAATACTTTTTTCCTGCAGATTTAATAATGAAAAAATAATTTCCACTTCTGTTTATATCAATTTAAATATGCTTCTTGTGCTAGAACAATGTTTCTGTGCTTGGGTTATATGGGTTTGAGGTCATTTGCAGATCAACAAATTTTCTATTAATTAATTTCTATAACATTGGAGAAAATTTTCCTTCCAAAATTAAATGCTAGGCCTCAGCTGCCTGATTTTGTAAACTCTTAAGCAGAGGAGGTAAATTAAAATTTTATCTGAGCTGCAATTTTTAATATGTGGTGAATAGCTATTAAACCCAAATTTCTTTAAAACATATGATAGTCCAGCCAATATATCATTATCTCCCCAAAAAAGCAATTCATGAGTGGTACTAAAAGTACGAGTGCTGCTTTATTTGGAAAGGGACTCCTAATCACACACTATATTCATTTACTTTTTATTGGCGAGCAAATATTCACAACTAGCCTGTTGGGTTTTTTAGAACCCAAATTAAACAATTTTGAAGTGTTTGTGATTTGATCATACAATTCCTTAAGAGCCTTAAAAGTGGTGTTGTACTGAGCTTTGGTTGGCTCTGCCAGTGATTCAGCTCCCAAAGCCACTGCCCTTTCTCCTCTCTGTCCGTGAAGTCATGCAATCCGGAGTGACTAAGATGCCGTGATTTACTCTGCACCCCCTGCACTGCCTGCACAATGCCAAGGAAAAGCTTCAGCAGATTGCTGGGGTCCTACTGCTGCCTCTCTTGCTCCTGTGCATGGTGGGAAGCAGAGTAAATTGCATTTGTGCATCCATCTAAACAAGCTTATTTAGGTTGAGCCCCTACAAGAGGTGCATGATGAAAATAATCACAACACGTGTCTATGTATTTACAAGCCCAACACTGTAATTACTAATTCTGTAGTATAACAATGCCAAATGTGGGAAGAATTGTCTAAATACACAATAAGCCATTTAATTTTGCTAATTGTAGCAATTAGACTAGCTTGCATGAAGCCCATGCTCTCAGCAGAAAGCCAAATGGAGTAAGTGGCAAACAGCCATGTATATACCAGAGACATTATGTTACGAAATCTTCCCTTGATTGTTTCTAGAACTATGTCTTTTCTTTACA